CATGTACCACTTCGACCTCGGTGGGCGCCAGGCCAGAGGCAGGGCGGGGCCAGGCGGGGCCGGGCAGGGCCGGGGGAGCGCTGTGGGCCTGGCTGTAGCCTGACCCCTTGTCCCCCCAGGCTATGTCCAGGGCATGAGTGACCTGCTCTCCCCGATCCTCTACGTCATTCAGAACGAGGTGGATGCCTTCTGGTGTTTCTGTGGCTTCATGGAGCTTGTGGTGAGGCTTGGGTCAGGCGTGGGACTGGGGCCCATGGAGCCATCAGGGGGCCTGGCACCTCACGGAGGCTGCCCTCCTTCCCCTGTTTCCATCCCACAGCAAGGGAACTTTGAAGAGAGCCAGGAGACCATGAAGCGGCAGCTTGGGTGCCTGCTGCTGCTCCTGAGGGTGCTGGACCCCCCGCTCTGTGACTTCCTGGGTATGTCTCTCGGGCGGGTGGGCAGGAGCCAGTGGGGCCACAGACCTGGACAGAGTCTCTGGTAGCAGCTACAGGTGACGTTCTGGACATTGGGTCCTGATCCAAAAAAGAGACACATCTCCACGCGACCTAGAACGTAGAGGCAGAATTGCTGTTTGAAGCCAAACGTCACGAAACGCACAAGCGCGGGCACACTGGCTCGTCCCGCCCACATGCTCACCTCCATCCTGTTTGGCCTTTACCTTTGGCTTAACCTGCTGGGTACTTTACAGAAATAAGGACCTGGATGTTCCTGCCACTTCTTACCTCCACCTGACTGTGGCTCACCTTGAACCAGGGATCAGAAACTGGTTCTCTGGGCCCTAAGGCTGGGGGTGCTGCATCCTGGCTTTAGTGTTTTTTATTCTTCACCCGGGCACGGTGGCTCACGCCTGTAATCCCAGCACTTTGGGAGGCCGAGGCAGGCAGATCACCTGAGGTCAGGAGTTCGAGACCAGCCTGACCAACATGGAGAAACCCCGTCTCTACTAAAATTAGAAAATTAGCCGGGCGTGGTGGCGCATGCCTGTGATTCCCAGCTGTCTGGGAGGCTGAGGCAGGATAATTGCTTGAACCTGGGAGGCAGAGGTTGCTATGAGCCAAAATGGTACCACTGCACTCCAGCCTGGGCAGCAAGAGCAAAAAAAGGAAAAAAATGTTTATTCGTCATTACTTGGTCAGTGTAAAAACTGCAAGAAATTTAGATGAAGAAAGAAAAAGTAAGGCCGGGTGTGGTGGTTCACACTTGTAATCCCAGTGTTTCGGGAGGCCGAGGTGGGAGGATCAGTTGAGCCAAGGAGTTTGAGACCAGCCTGGGCAACATTGGGAGAACAGAAAAAATTGAGAAACTACAAAAAAAATTAAAAATTAGCCTGGGCACAATGTAATCCCAGCACTTGGGGAGGCCGTTCAGCTGGATCACTTGTGACCAGGAGTTCCAGACCAGCCTGGGCAACATAGCAAAACTGTCTCTACTAAAAATACAAAAAAAATTAGCCAGCTATGGTGGCACATGTCAGTAATCCCAGCTACTGGTGAGGCTGAGGCACGAGAATCAGAGGTGTTGGTTAGCAGTCAGAGAAACTGTGCCACTGCACTCTAGCCTGGGAAACACAGTGAGGGTGGGGGGAGGCCAGGTGTGGTAGCTCATGCCTGTAATCCAGCACTTTGGGCGCCAAAGTGGGTGGATCAGGAACACCTGAAGTCAGGAGTTTGAGACCAGCCTGGCCAACATGGTGTGAAACCCCATCTCTACTAAAAATACAAAAATTAGCTGGGCTTGGTGCATGCCTGTAGTCCCAGCTACTCAGGAGGCTGAGGCAGGAGAATCCCTTGAGCTGAGGTCGTACCACTGCACTTCAGCCTAGGCAACAGAGCAAGCCTCTGTCTCAAAAAACAGAAAAAAGCATGTTCAAGTTGCTGTTGATAACATTATTCTTTCTGAGTACAGATGGCGATGATAATAAGTTAACTTATTTATGGACATTTCCTCACTGATGCTTTAGGACCCCCAGGAAGGGAACTGAGATATTCTGGCCTCGCCTTACTGATGAGGAAACTAAGTCATGAAGAGCCTCACTCCCTGGGGCTCAAGGAGAGGCCACCTCTGTGTCATTCAAAGTCTTCTCAAACATCACTTTTCTTGACTGCATGGTGTTCTGTCCACCTGCAAGATGTGGCAGAATTGATTTAACTTCACCTGCTGGAGATTCGGGTCCTTTGCAGTTTTTTTTGTTTTTTTTTTGAGATGGAGTCTCGCTCTGTCACCCAGGCTGGAGTGTGCAATGGCTTGATCTTGGCCCACTGCAACCTCTGCCTGCCAGGTTCAAGCGATTCTCCTGCCTCAGCCTCCCAAGTAGCTGGGATTACAGGCAAGCGCCACATGCCTGGCTAATTTTTGTGTTTTTAGTAGAGATGGGGTTTCACACCATGTTGGCCAGGCCCGTCTTGAACTCCTGACGTAGGTGATCCACCCTCCTTGGCCTCCCAAAGTGCTGGGGTTACGGGCGTGAGCCACCCCACCCAGCCCTCAGCTTATTCTTGCTAATAAAAATTTGTATCTAGGAGTGCCAGTTTCCTTAGTTCTCACCGGCAGCAGGCACTGAGGTCTGTTTCCTCCGGTGCGCTGGCACCCTGCCTCCCTTCCATGTCTGTGGAAGATGTGCAAGTATAATAACACACTTCTGGAAAGTGGGACGAAGGAGGGCGAGGTCCGGGTTCAGAGCTGCTCCTGCCTCACCTCCGAGGGTCCCAAGCCGGGCATAAGTCACTTGCCTAGACTTGGGGAGGGTCCTCCAGCCAGGATGGCTTCTTAGACTCTCAGTTCCAGCGCTGGACAAGGCTGAGTGGGCTCCATGTCCTCCTCAGATTCCCAGGACTCTGGTTCTCTCTGCTTCTGCTTCCGGTGGCTCCTGATCTGGTTCAAGAGGGAATTCCCCTTCCTGGATGTCCTCCGGCTGTGGGAGGTGGGCCAGCCAGCTGTGGGAGGGAGGCCTGAAGGGGCGGGCTCTGCCACCTGTGGGAGAGGATGGGAGGTTGGGCAGAGAGGGGCAGACCCTGGTGGGTCCTCAGGCCCAGGCTGGGCCATGACCCCTCCCTCCCTCTGTCCCACATCCCCAGGTACTGTGGACAGGGCTCCCTGGCCCCAATCTGCACCTGCTGGTAGCCTGCGCCATCCTAGACATGGAGCGAGACACCCTCATGCTGTCCGGCTTCGGCTCCAATGAGATCCTGAAGGTGAGGCGCCGGCTCCTTCCCGCCCTGCACTCCCTCCCACCAGAGCTGGGCGCGTCCAGGGCTGCAGTACCCCCGGGGAGCAGGTGCTCAGTGTGGGATTATTGAAAGCCTGGTTAGCTGAGAGCGCCGCCGGGGTGGGGCCGCATGGGTTTCTCTCCCGCCCCATCCCTTGCCTGCTCCCAGCAAGGTCCTCACAGGGCAGGTGGGTGGGGACCTGCCCTCCCCCAGTACGTGCCCAGAATGCTCCCAGAGGCCTGAGAAGCATGACTCCCCCAGCCCCCAGCGCGCCTCCGAGCCCCCAGAGGGCCAGCCCGGTGTGTCTTCATTGTTCCCCAGCACGAGGCACAGAGTGGGCGCTCGGGCGGAGGTGGCTGAGTGCTGGCTGGCGCCTGACCCACCCCCTCCCGCAGCACATCAACGAGCTGACTATGAAGCTGAGCGTGGAGGACGTGCTGACGCGCGCCGAGGCCCTGCACCGCCAGCTGACCGCCTGCCCCGTGAGTGCCCGCCCGCCCCCCAGCGCCCCCACCCGAACCCCGCCCCTATCTCACCGTCACCTTCTGCTTTTCGCCGCCCTCGCTCGGCGCCTCTAGGAGCTGCCCCACAACGTGCAGGAGATTCTGGGGCTGGCGCCGCCCGCAGAGCCCCACAGCCCCTCGCCCACCGCGTCTCCCCTGCCGCTGTCGCCCACCCGGGCCGCGCCTTCCCCGCCGCCCCCCGCGGACACAGCCCCGCAGCCCGACAGCAGCCTGGAGATCCTGCCGGAGGAAGAGGACGACGGCGCCGACTCCTAACCCCGCCAGGCAGCCTCGCTCTGCACAGGCACTTTAGCCTGCGCAGGAGGCCAGGGACACCTGCGAGGGGGCGGGTGCGCTCCGCCCCCGGCCGCCGCGCCCTCCTGATAAGCTGGCTTCATTAAACTGACACTTCTCTTGTGCAGTTGGCTTCATGTTAGTGGGGGGAAGCTGCCACGTGGGCTCCGACCTTGGTGGGGATTGTGGCTCGGCAGAGCCTAGAGTGAATGATTGGGGTTTGTGGAGGCAGGGCTCCCTGAGTTGCCTGATTTGATTTGTCTTATGAGATGGAGTCCTGCTCTGTCACCCAGGCTTGAGTGCAGTGGCAGATCTCGGGTCACTGCAGCCTCTGCCTCCAGGGTTCAAGCAATTCTCCTGTCTCAGCCTCCCAAGTAGACGGGACTACAGCCGTGCACCACCACACCCGGCTGATTTTTGTATTTTTGGTAGAGGCGGGGTGTCATCATGTTGGCCAGGCTGGTCTTGAACTCCTGACCTCAGGCGATATGGCTGCCCCGACCTCCCAAAGTGGTGGGATTACAAGCGTGAGCTACGTCGCCCGGCCTGACTGGGGGTTTTGGAGGAGTGGAGTGAAGATGGGGTGCTCGGGGCAGCAGCTGCGACCTGGGAACACTTCCCGGGCATAACCAAGGTGGAAGGGCCTGCAGAGCTGCATGCTGAGTCTGCCCTTCCAGCTGCTGCTTATGAGAAAAATCATCTGTTCAGCCACTGTCAGCCGGGCTGTTCCTAGCATTAGGGCCCATCTGTGCTTCGGCTTCGTGACAGTCGGAGATGGTCTCCATGACTGCCATTTTCCGGTGGTGCAGGGAGTCCGTCCTGTTCCCTCTGCGTGTCCCCCCTCCTGTGGAGCCCCACTCTCCGGGAAGAAGTGAGGGGCAGATTGTGGAAGGCTCCAGGATAGGCGCGGCACCTGCTACCTGCAGGGCTAGGGGTTCCGGTGCAGGCAAATTGGGGAAGTAACTGAGCCACGGGGGAGGCTGGACCACACGGCTTTTTCCGAAAATACTTTAATGCCAGGTCCTCGTGTAGGTAGTGTGCTGGAGAGGTAACTGGCCTTGGACTGGAGGGTGGCTGCCCTCTTCCTCTGCCAGGTCATACGAGGGGCTGCCCGCCACCCCATGCGCATGCCCCTGCCTCTGCCTCTGCCCCTCTGCGCTGGCCGTCTCGAATGCAGGCTCCTCCCGGCTGTTGATTTTGATGGCGGCTCGCAGCGCCGACTTGACCGCCGTCTCCACCCAGCCGTGCGGGTAGGCAGTGTGCTCGCCGGCGAAGTAGATGCGGCCATAAGGGACAGACCAGTCGTACGGCCCGTAGTCCTTTTCGGTTTGCCAGAGCGCCGGCGGCTGCACCACGAAGCCACCCTGGCTGTGCGGGTCCTCGGCCCAGCGCTTGACGACGCCGGTGCCGTCCCAGAGCTGGCGCACGAACGGCCCGTGCAGCGCAGCCACGTCTTCCAGCGCCACGCGCAGCGCCTCTTCCTGGCTCAGGCCGGCGAACGCCGCGGCCGCGTCCGACCACGTGTACGAGGCCAGCAGCAGCGCGCCCTCGCGCGGCGGCGGGTAGAAAATCATGCGCGACGGGCGGTCTGTGTTCGAGTGGCCGCCCTCGATGTCCTCCTCGCGCCAGAAGGGCCTGCGGAAGCTCAAGAACACCTTGGTGGCCGGCACGTAGTGCAGTCCCCGCAGCGCCTCCTGCATGTGGCGGGGAAGCGGCGGCGAGAAGGTGATGCGCTGCACCGCCGGCCCGCTCGCGGTCAGCAGCACCACGTCGGCCTTCAGCGCCTTCAGATTCCGCGCCCGGGGAAAGTTCTTGATCTGCACTTGCACATCATGCGGCCCCTGGGTTATCGCCACGACGGGCGCGTTCAACAGCACAGGCTCCAACAGCGAGCTCAGCAACGCGCGTGGCAGCAGGTCCCAGCCACCCACGATGCGGCTGTACCTGCGGGCGGGGCAGGGGCGTGACCCCGGGTTCTGCGGCCCCGCCCCTCCGTCTGGCCCCACCCACTTCGGCTGCTGGCCCTTATGTTCACCGACCCGCTCCCACTTCATCCACCTCTCCGGATCCCGCCCGTTCCTGACATCCTGGAGGCCGCAGTAGTGGATTGTGTGACCTGGAACTCCACCACTTCTCCTCCCCAGGCCGTGCCCTTTATCCGGGAACCCTTTACCCCTCCCCTGTCAATCAGGTCACGCCCTTCACAACAGCTCCGCCCCCCCGGCCCCGAGACTCCTCCCACTCCCCGATACTTGCCACGATTGGCCCCCGCCCGCCCCTCCCCTGCCCGTCGGCCCCGCCCCTCACTGGAGCCTGTCGCTGAGGCAGCTGTGGGCCCGAAGGGCCTCCGCAAAGCTGAGATAGAAGAAGCCATCCTCGGACATCACGTCTCCCAGAAGCTGCACGGCCGGCCGGCTCAGGTTCCCCTCCCCGAGGAGGTATTCCTGCAGAGTGGGCGCGGGCCGAGGTCAGGGCCCAGGCGGGCGGCACCCCCAGAGAGGACCCTTCCCCAGCCAGGCCTCCTGATTCCATGACACGTCCTTGGACCCTAGAGATCCGGTTCCCGCTCTGTGACAGATGAGGGAAACTGAGGTCCAGAGAGAAGGCGTGTCCAGCCCCCGGGGTCAGGCAGGAAGGCAGTGGCAGGACTAGGGTCCCAGGTTCCCGCCTCCTGACTCTCTGGGGAAGGCCCACGGTCACTCTCTTTGCCTTGCGTCTCAGCAGAACCAAGAACCCCACTCACCAAGAGCGTGTGCCTTTCAAACTTCTTCATTGCCTTTCTGCAGCCCAGCATCTTCAGGTCTTTGAGGGCCTGTTGTGGGAGAGGCAGACATGATGCCGCGCTGCCGGGGCAGCCAGGGTGGAGGCTGGGTCTGGAGCCCACCCCTGGCTTCTCCTTGTGGTTCTGCCCATGGCCAGCCTTTCACCACTCTGAAGCCTCTGGGCTTTTGTCCACGCCGTGCCCTCTGCCTTGCCCTCCTCTGCAGCTCAGATGCCGCCACTCCTCCCATCTTCCCAAACCGTTAACACCGCCTCATCCCCCTCGTTTGCCCAGCTGGTCACAGCTTGTCCCAGTTGGGTGTTATTTTGCCTATTCCTGCGCCAGCCTGTGAGCTCCATGGAGGCAGGGATGTGGGCAGCTGGAGAGGAGGCTGGGAGAGGGTCTCAGGCGTGCTGTGTCCTCCCGGGGCACAGTGATTATTGGTTGCTGGCCACGGGCTGAAGCTGGCCCCCTGTGCCACTGGTCAGGGCTGACAGGGCATGGTGGCTGAGAAGTTTACCTACCAGTTCATCCCCTGCCCACAGCCTTCCTGTGGCTCCCAGCGCCTAGAGCCACAGAGTTCTCACCCCTCAGCCTGGTGTTCCAGGCCCCTGCCAGCCCCTCAGTCGTCTTCTTTTTTTTTTTTTTTTTTTCTTTTTGAGACGGAGTTTCGCTCTTGTTACCCAGGCTGGAGTGCAATGGTGCGATCTCGGCTCACCGCAACCTCCGCCTCCTGGGTTCAGGCAATTCTCCTGCCTCAGCCTCCTGAGTAGCTGGGATTACAGGCACGCGCCACCATGCCCAGCTAATTTTTGTATTTTTAGTAGATACGGGGTTTCACCATGTTGACCAGGATGGTCTCGATCTCTTGACCTTGTGATCCACCTGCCTCGGCCTCCCAAAGTGCTGGGATTACAGGCGTGAGCCACCGCGCCTGGCGTCTTTTTTGTTTTTGAGAGGTAGTCTCGCTCTGTCGCCCAGGCTGGAGGGCAGTGGCACAATCTCAGCTCACTGCATCCTCCACCACCCAGGTTCAAGCAATTTTCCTACTTCAGCCTCTCGAGTATCTGGGATTACAGGCGCACCACCACCATACCTGGGTGATTTTTGCGTTTTTAGAAGAGATGGGGTTATGCCATGCCAGCCAGGCTGGTCTCAAACTCCTGACCTCAGGTGATCCACCCACCTCCCAAAGTGCTAGGATTACAGGTGTGAGCCACCGTGTCCGGCCTCTTTTCTTTCTTTTTTTTTTTTTGAAGATGGGGGACTCTGTCTCAAAAAAAATAAATAAAATGAATAAATAAATAAAAATAAAAGGTATTAGGGAAGGCTTCCTGGAGGAGGGGACATTGGAGCTGGCTCTTGAGGGCAGAGTAGGAGTTCCTGTGTGGGGAAGGGAAAGGCATTCTGGGCGGGGTGGGATGCACAGGTGTAGTGGGAGTGAGGAACACAGCTGGGGGCATAGGGACCACCATGAGGACAAAAGTTCCTCAGAGGAGAAAAGAATGTGAAGCTGGAGGGGTGCAGGAGGGTAGGCCAGTCAGGGCTCAAAACTGAGCCTGAGGCAAGGCGGAGCCACCAGGGGCTGTGAGCAGTATCACTCTGGGTGTGTGGGAAGACGCTCCTCTACCAGGTTGGGAAGATGGAGCCTGTGCAGCTGGAGGGGAGACTAGGGGAGGGCCCAGGGCAGAGGAGGAGGCCTGAGCTGGGGTGGGCAGAGGGGAGCAGGGCATGAGCGTCCGGGGACAGGGGTGGGCACTGACAGTGGGGGAGGTGGGCGAGTAGGAGGTCGGGAGGAAGATGGCTCCTGGGGGTCTGCCCGTGACTGTGGGATGGTGGGGCCATCGTGAGATGGGGGCAACAGGAGGAGGAACGGGTTTAGGGGAAGGTGTTGAGCCCAGTGGTGCTAGAGGGCCTGGGGTGGGACACAGGCCAGGGTCTTGGGAGACAGATTTAGGAGATGTCAGTTTCTGGATCCACACTGGAGACCGGGGAGGTTATCCAGGACAGCGTGTGGGTGAAAAGGGAAGAGACGAAAAGCCAATGCAGCTTTGGGGTTAGCAGTACTTATGGGGAGGCTAAAGAAGGGAGCTGGGCCAGGCGCGGTGGCTGCCGCCTGTCATCCCAGCACTTTGGGAGGCTGAGGCGGGCAGATCACCTGAGGTCGGGAGTTCAAGACCAGCCTGACTGACATGGAGAAACCCCCTGTCTACTAAAAATACAAAATTAGCCAGGCGTGGTGGCGCGTGCCTGTAATTCCAACTACTTGAGAGGCTGAGGCAGGAGAATCACTTGAACCCAGGAGGCGGAGGTTTCGGTGAGCCGAGATCGTGCCATTATACTCTAGCCTGAGCGACAGAGTGATACTCCATCTCAAAAAAAAAAAAAAAAAGTGAGTTGGGAGATGACCCACAGGCACAGAAGCCCGTGGAGTTGGCCACTCTCATTCTCCGATTTCTGTGGGTAGGTCAGTGGTTAGACCTCATGGCACACATGCCCTTGGTCGAATTTCCGTCTCTACCAACAGGCACCCAACCCCATGGAGGGGACCCAAGGAATAACAGAGAAGAAAAGCCAGGCCAGGGAGCCAGCCAGGGCGAGCTGGGGAGGAGGACACAGAAGTCAGAGCGGGAGGAGGTGCGGCAGGTGCCCACCTGGTTGAGAGCCATCTGGTAGATGTCTTCAGGGGAGTGGCCCTTTTCCTGGGGCCGCAGGGCATAGCCCAGCTGCTCAGGCAGCTTCTCCACCATGTAGTTGCGCAGCTTCACCTCGTGCACCTCCGTCCACGTGTTCTCGTCATACTGGGTGAACTTGGTGAGGTTGAGCCCCAGGACCTGGCAGAGCCTATGGAGGATCCTGAGCGAGGGAGCAGGTGGATGAGGGCCAGGCTCCTGCGGGGGTGGCCTGGTCCCTAGTGGGACTTGGGAGGTGGGAGGGGAGAATAGCTGGGGGCCAGCGTGAGGCTGGGAGTGGGGCTAGATTTGGGGTGATCAGTGCTGGGGAATGGGAATGAAATGGGGACAAGGTTGGAAGGCTTAGGGCAGCACCAGGATTAGGATCAGGTTAGGAGCGGGGATAGAGGCTGGATTAGAATCGGGAAGGGGGGCAGAGTTTGGGTTGGATGGGGGTTTGAGGTGGGGAGGGGCCTGGGGCTGGAGTGCCTAAAGATGTGGGGGTGGTGGAGCTGCAGGGCTGCAGGGGACCACAGAGGAGCTGGCGTTTGGGACGGGCAGGGCTGGCTTGGGGTCTGGTGAGTGAGGGCCGGGCTCCGGTGGGGGTGGCCAGGTCCCTAGAGGGACTTGGGAGGTGGGAGGGGAGAGCAGCTGGGGTCCAGCATGAGGCTAGGGACCAGGTGGCCTGAGTGCTGCCAGAGGCCGGCTGCTGGGGCTGAAGCAGGACTGTCACGGGGATCAGGTGAAGGATGGGGTCGGAGGCTGGGTTTGGGTTTGGGAGTCAGAGCTGGAGTTCGGGCCTGCTCTGGCATGGGTGTGGAGCTAGGGGGCTGGCTGAGTCAGGGCACATGTGTGGGTGGGTTGCCAGGTCACCTGTGGGAGCTGGGCATGCGCATGGCTCCCAGCTCCCCAATCCAGCCTGTGTTCCGGTCCCGGTAGGTGAAGATTCGGCCCCCGATCCTGTTATCTGCCTCTAGGATGGTGACCTGAGGGAAACCGTAGGGTGAGGAGGGCCCTTCAGTTCCACCCATGACCATTCCCTGCTCCCCTGCCCCGTGCCAGCCCCCTGCCTTCTTCCGTCCTCACAGTGGCACAGACCTAGACCCTAGACTAGGCGAGGGTCCCTTTCTGTATGTGAGGTGGGAGAACAGAACCGAGTGAGCAGTTCCAGAGTACAGCAGGAAGGCCGCCAGCTAGACTTCAGAGGGACTTCCCGACTCAGAGAGCTGGGAGATAAACCCTATATGTAGAAGTCCCAGGGCTGGACCGTTCTCATTCTTGGATTTCGGTGAGTAGGTCAGTGGTTAGACCTCAGGGCACACATCCCCTTGGTAAAGTTTCCAGCTCCACTGACAGGCACCCCACCCCAGGACAGAGGGGCTTTCTGTGACACTTCCGTCTGGGATGAGGAAAGTGGGACAGGAAAGTCTAGGGCCTCTCAATGATGACACGTGGCAGTAGGCAGTTTGGGCCTAACCCCTAGACCAGGGGGAAAGGTAGCCTCTCCCTCCCCTCCCCCACCCCACCCCGCCCCTTCAAGCAGGATCGGGGCCAGGTCCCTCTGCCCAGGGACCCCCAGCCTGCAGCAGGAGGGACTCCAGGTAGTCTACAAGCAGCACTTCCCACCTTGTGTCCGGCATCGCTGAGCACCTTGGCGGCCACCAGCCCAGCCACGCCAGCGCCAACCACAATCACCCTCTGGGGCTTGAGGGTCCGATCGAGGCCCAGGGTCACCACCTTGAGCAGCTGCTCGTAGTCAGGATCGTGCATGCATTTCTCGAAGGGGTCCTGGCTGCGTTCAGTCTTCCAGTCCTGGGAGGCTGCCAGGCTGAGGAGGATGAGGACGAGGACGAGGAGGCGCAGGACTAGAGAGGGGGAGGACAGGGTCAGCGGGTGCGCGGCGGGTCGGGGGAGAGGGGTTCTGCTCACTTGTCCCAGAGCCCCTCCTCTGCTTACTCACCCAGCGGGGCCATGACTGTCGGTGGGAGATGGCGCCTGGGGTGGAGGAGAAGTGAGGGCCACTGTGACCGCCGCCTCAGTGCCCTGGAGCCTGACTCTGTCTCCCATGGGCTGCCCAGCTGCTGCACCCAGCCCTTCCCCCATCACTGCCCTCCTCTCTGGACTTGTGTCCCCCGACCCCATTCCTTCAGAGTCCCCTGGCCATCCCTGCCTCCCTCCTCAGCGATCTCCTCCGCCACTGCTCTCTCGGGCTGCTCTCTGTCTCTTTTCCCTCTTTCTTTTCTTTCTTTCTTTCTTTTTTTAACAGTCTTGTTCTGTCGCCCAGGCTGTAGTGCAGTGGTACAATCTTGGCTCCCTGCAACCTCCACCTCCCGGATTCAAGCTATCCTCCCACCTCAGCCTCCCAAGTAGCTGGAGTTACAGGCACCCACAACCACGTCTGGCTAATCACCACATTGGCCAAGCTGGTCTCAAACTCTTGACCTCAGGTGATCCACCCGCCTCGGCCTCCCAAAGTGCTGGGATTCCAGGCGTGAGCCGCCTTGCCTGGCCTCTTTTCCCTCCTCCTCACCTCCCCACCTGACTGCTTCTCAGTCCCTATTTCTGTGGGTCCTCTCTCTGTGCCCCGACCACTGGCTGTGTCGCTACCTCCGGCTCTTGGTGACAGCAGCACCGCGCGATCCTCTCCTCCGCCCTCCACTGTCTCTGCTGTGGCCCTTTCTCTCCCCTTCAACTGGCAGAGCCCCGCCCACCCCTCCTTTTGGGAAATTGGCCAAGGGAAATGAAACTGGTTTTCTGGAGTCACAGAGTCAGATACTCAGTCTAGTTGAGGTTGGAGAAAGGGGGTCGAGGAAGTCGCTCAGTCTCTTCTTCCTTTTGCCCCAGATAGTTCTGGGGTGGTTTGGAAGCCAGAAATAGATGCTCAGGTAACCGTGGCGACAGTGGGGAATGTCCCTCGGCCGCCCCCGTCCCTGATCACCGGAGCCGTTGTTTCTACCCTCCCCCATGCTGCCTTGATTCCTGCGGCCTGGGGACAGAGGGGCTACAGTCCCTGGGCCAGGCCAATTTTCCCCTCCAGGTCCCTCTCCATCAGGTGACGCCATGTCCTATGGGGCCTCCCATGGTTCCACTTGCCCCTTCACTTGCCACTCAGAGCCTCAGTCTCCCCCTCTGTCAAAAGGGTGTAGCATTAGGACTGACAGCCATGGCCCAGGGGTCAGGACGTGGGCTGTGAGCCCGCCCTCCCCTCTGTGGCTCCTGTCTGCAGCTGTCAAATGGGGATGTCACGGTGTTTTAGGACCAGGTAGTACAGGAAGCAGCTCCTTTGGAAATGCCAGCAGCTGTGGCCGCAGGGGCCCTGCGGGAGGGGTTCTGTGAGTGGCCACCAGGCAGGTGGAAGAGCTCAGGCTTCACCCATCCCTGCCTTGAGAACCACCTTAGTGCTCGGGGCTGGGTGTGGGGCGGCACCTTGAAGTGGGCGGGGGTGGAGAAGAAACAGCGGGGACTTTCCGTGGGGGTGGGGGGAGAGGGAGCCAGGGGCTTGGTGAGGGGGAAAAGCAGAGGGAGCAATTCTCCTGATTAAGGGTTGTCAGGGGCATTACCAAGAAGATGGGAAACGCCTGCAGTAAATCAAAGAGGGATGTGGTTTATGGCCAGGGAGGGCTGGGGGTGAACGTGAGTAAGAAGTCTACGGGAAACCATCAGAGAGCTGGACGGGCCCCAGGCCGAAAGAGCTCGGGTCAGCAAAAACAGCGACAAGGGCCAGCGGTGGCTCATGCCTGTTATCCCAGCACTCTGGGAGGCTGAGGTTGGCGGACCACCTTATGTCAGGAGTTCAAGACCAGCCTGGCCATCTGGTCAGGTGAAAGGGTGAAACCCTGTTCTACTAAAAATACAAAAATTAGCTGGGTGTGATGGCCGGTGCCTGTAATCCCAGCTACTCAGGAGACTGAGGCAGGAGAATCGCTTAAACCTGGGAGGTGGAGGTTGCAGTGAGCTGAGATCGTGCCACTGCCCTCCAGCCTGGGTGACAGAGTGAGACTCTGTCTCAAAATAATAATAATAATAATAAATAAAATAGTAACAAGGGCTGGGTGCAGTGGCTCACTCCTATAATCCCAGCACTTTGGGAGAACAAGCTGGGAAGATTGCTTCAGCCCAGGAGTTTGAGACCAGCCTGGCCAAGGTGGTGAAACCCCGTCTCTACTAAAAATACAAAAAATTAGCCGGGCATGGTGGCAGGTGCCTACTTGGGAGGCTGAGGCAGAGAATTGCTTGAACACATGAGGCGGAGGTTGCAGTGAGCCGAGATCGTACCACTGCACTTCAGTCTGGGCGACAGAGCTAGACTCCTTCTCAAA